TCATTCAGTACCTGGATTCCTGCACTAAGCTCTCTCGAATGATTTCCTGCACCCAGCTTTGTTTCTAATCCATCTTCCTCACTGTTGACAAGCTCATTCATTCCACTTACTTAAACTCCTTCAGTGGCTCCCTGAGGTCTTCAAAATAAAGTCTAACCTATTTCAAATGGCATACAAGCCTTTCATATTAAAAGCACTTCTCCCATAAGAAATAACTGAAGGTGGTCTGCTGCTACCTTTCCAGGACTCAGGCTGCAAATGCTCTTTAACTGCGGATCCTGGACAGGAAAAAAGGGCTGCCAAGTCCCAGCTCTTTCACAGAAGGAGGCTTCACTGTCCCGAGTGAGGTTCAGGAAAGACCAAATGCTGCCACCAGCTCAGCGCAGCAGAAAACTGTCTTCCTCCATATTCTCAGGTCCCTGGGGGTAAACTAAGTTCCAGGCAGTCTTGCAAGGCTGCTGGCACTACAGCTTCCCAACCAAAGGCAGCTGACTATGATGTAAGGCCAACCCACTAATGTGAGCTTCTCCATTACAATGAACACCTCCAGAGAGTACAAAACATGATATTGATAAAGAAGTGATGTTTGGCTGTCCACTCACTGGGGCCAGTTGCAGCGCCAAGTGGTCTGACAAAACTGGCATGCTGTGGTGGTGTTTGTCTCACATATGGATGGAACACTCCAGACGCTGGAATGTATACATTAATCACTATAAGAACTATATAGAAATCACAGGCTTTTCAAAGCAAGCGGTGTAAACAGTAGAAAACTATGCATAATAAGGATGCACTATTCTGTGCTTGCTTAAAATTTTCCCTTCTGACTTTTGTGGTCACATCTTATTTTTATTGCACCTGCCTCAGCTAGTCGTTTTATTGTATTACCCAGAATACCTAAGTAACCTTTCTTTTCTAAATACAAACACCATTTTCTCAGAAGAGGGTACATGGCTTAATAGGAAAAGCTAATTAGTCATACCAATTCTTCTTGTTGACCATGTGCTTACTCTCCATTAGACTTTTTTAAAATAATGAAACAAATACTTTTACAGAAACTCATGTGTCTCCATGGAAATATGATTGAGGTCATTATTATTTCCCTTAAGGAATGCCGATCAACTATAATTATGTGTGACATTTTGAAACAATGCACTGTTGCTTCAACTAACCATTTCTTCTGCAAACATTTCAGAATGGATTAGCTATACCAACATATTTTATATCAACATGTTCACTAAAAACAATTTCTCCTTATTTCAAACCATATTTTCAATAAAATTTGTCATCTTTGGGAACGAAATATACTTTAGGATAAAAAAAGACAGAAATAAAGCCACATATGATTAGATGTATGTATCTATACTCAACTGAGATGGTTTAAGAATATTTGTTTCTTAAAAAAATACATAACTGATATTATTGGTCAAAATATTTTCATTCAGGGGAAAGCAGGTGTTTTAATATTATCACTTGCAAATTTAATGCTATATATTTCGTATATTCTGTATTAGTTACATTTTTAATAGAGAGAATTTCAAGTTATCAAAAATATGTAGCATTTTTTAGTTATCAAAACTGAAAACTAGACATAATTTTGTTGCTTCTGAACATGCAGGAAGTTTGTAAAGGTTACAGAATCTGGAATAGTTTAGGTACAGAAGGTAAGGAATACACGGGGAGCAGGCACCCAGTATGCATGGTCCATCTATTAAAGATGACAACTAGACTGTATTTAGTTGTATTTTATTTCATTATACCCTTTCATGAGTTATTTCAAAATAAAATAACTGAATAACCCTTCTTCCATCACCATAGACATTTTTGTACTAGTCCCGTTTATAAAAAGTTTGGCTCTGATCATCTATAGATAAATTATAAATTGTCTATCCCTTCTTTCTTCACATTCCTCTGTTGAATCTGTAACTCAATTTTGTCATTTCCCTAAATTGCATTATAAATAAATTAGAAAACACACATCTGCTCAAACTGAGGCTCTATTGCAATTGGCTCAATCATGCAGAGCAGGTGCAGCTGCAGCTCCAGGAGGGCTCACAGTAACTTTTGTTCATAGCCTTTACTCACATGAGCTTTCTACATGCAGTCACCAGAAACTGCAGGTAACTCAAAAGGTTAGGTGAAAGCTCAAAGACTTTTGAGAAAAGAAAAGTTTAAAAACTTTAAAAAAGTTTACTACTTTTCAGTGTTTAATAGCATGAAAACACTGATCCGACTCATACTTCTGTTTGAGAATCATGAAGATCACATTGAACTTGTCTTCCATGTTAAATAAACCAGATAATGTAGAAATTTAACTTTATTTCAAAAGACTGTGTTATGACCCCAAATGTGTCCTGTAAAGCCCTAAACCCCCAATGTGACTGTATTTGGAGATAGGGCCTCTAAAGAGTTAAATGAGTTAAGTGAGGTCATGAGGGTGCATCCTTGAATGGACAGGGCTGATGTCCACCAGGGCTCTCTCTCCACGCAGCTGCCCAGAGAAAAGGACATGCAAAGACACAGCAAGAAGGCAGCATCTGCAAGCCGAGGACAGAGATATGACCAGAAACTGACCCTGCTGGCACCTTGATTATGAACTTCCAGCCTCCAGAACCATGAGAAAATAAATGTCTGTTGTTTAAGTCTTGCAGTCAATGATATTCTGTTATGGCAGCCTGAGCAGACTAAGGCAGATTGTTATCTCATTCCTCTGGAGAAGTGTGTTAATGCTTTGTACCCGCTAGTCCTATCACAGAAAAACACTGGCTTTTAGTAACACAGGTTTTAAACTTTGATCAAATAGTCTATACCAGTGTCATAAAAACAAAATTTACCACTGTTCTCTACATGCCTTAGTGGCTTTCAAACTTTTTGGCTGTGCTCCACAATATTTTTAGTATTTACAGATGCATGTATGTATATAATATATAGTACACTTATAATATGTGTGCATGTGTCTTTCACAGAACTTGTCCGATCTAATTGTAGAAGATATGTTCTGTTGAATTCTCTTTTACTTACAAAATAAATGCTTGGAAGAATCAGACCAATAAATACAGAGAACAAAGTGGTGGTTGACAGAAGGAAAGGGAGTTGGGGGGATGGGCAAAATGGGTGAAGGGGAGTGTGAATCTCCATACAGGCTTCCACTTATGGAATGAATAAGCCCACAGGGATAAAAGGCACAGCGTAGGAATATAGTCAATAATCTTATAATAGCAGTGTATGGTGGCAAATAGTAGCCACATTTGCATAGAGATGTTGAAACACTATGTTGTACACCTGAAACTAATGAAACATTGTGTGTCAAATTTTAAAAATTAATTAAAAAAATAAACACTTGTGGATATTTCTAAAAAATCCATTTAATAGCCAATTTATAGCTAGATGTTTGAGAAGTCTTTTTCAGTTATGTTACCCAAAACATTCCCTAGTTATAATTTCCTTTTTTCCCTTAGCATCTCAAGATCCTTAAAAGTACAGTGAAGTTAAAACAATTATAATATTCTCTCTCTTTCTTTCACATTCATTCTCTCTCTCTCTGTCTCTCTCACAAACACACGTGTGCGCACACACACACACACAATGAATCTAAGAAGGAGGTGAATTAATTGGGGTCTTGCTCAAAGCAAAACTTTTCACATGATTTAAACCAGAATGTCATGCACACTGCCTTGCTGATATGTTTATAATAAAAGATTTTGGTTTTATGGTGCAACTAAGACATAGATTAATGCATACAGACTATGTGAATTTCTAACTGAGGAATATGATATCCATGAAGGGAAGTGCTGGATAACGACATCTTTCTAAATACTATAGGCAACTTGGGTACTGTTAAGAAATTATATGACTTGATGAATTTCAAAGAAACTACTTATTTGTAAGGAAAAACTTAATTTTATCGTTTCCTATCTTATTCTATTTCTTTTGTGTTTATGTTTAAGGAATCATGTTTGCTGTATCAAAGATTTTGACATTGGTGTCTCCTGGCATATGATCACCACCAGATAATGAAATGGAGGGATAAGTAAAGGAAAAGACAATAGGCACAACAGTTACAGATGTTACAGATTTGTTATTTAAAAAAATTGGTAAAGTTGGCTAACACCTAGAAACCAAAAATAAAAAATTCATAATAAGACACAATTCTGTCACACTCAAACTGATAATACTTCTGGGCCTGTAACTATGAAATCAAAATGTAATTTACAAAGTATAAAATTTCAAGAACAAGATTGAAATGTTAAACTTTCCAAATCTTTATGGGTCAAAATGTTAATGTTCATTTCTATATGTATAGTTGCTATAAAATAGGTAAAAGAATGTATTTTTGAACATATGAATTCTGTACACAGGGAACTTGGCCATAATGCATACAGCTTTGGGCACATGTGTACCTGCACACGTTTATAGAGATATTTATAAGAAAGAAGTAAATCAATATAGTCAAACAATTCAATATAATGTGATACGTTCACTTTTTAATGCTATTGGGATCTTGACATAAGCATTTTCCATTGTATTTCTTTTTATGGAACAACATTTAGTTTGTGCTCTTCAGGAAAAATATAAAAAGAAAATGGAAAAAATATTGAGGGAAATATTTTAAATTACATCTTTTTTTCATTATAAATTAGCCTCGGCACCTCTATAGCATCTGGTACATAGCCAGTATTTGCTAAGTGAGTTACACTTAACATACATCAAATTCACACCAAACATATAAATATTAAAACTCTTAAATAACATTTATTTTTAAATGTCAAAAACGATGAAAAATAACTTTTACTGAATCAGCTAAATAAGAGGGGTTTTGTTTTTAAAGATTTTATATATTTGAGAGAGAGAGAGCACAAACTCTGCTGAGCAGAGAGCCCAAAGTGGGGCTCAATCCCAGAACCCTGAGATCATGACCCGAGCCTAAGGCAAACGTTTAACCGACTGAGCCACCCCGGTGCCCCTTAATTGGGAGTGTTTTTCGCACATTCCTTAACTCTTACCTCTTCCTTTGTCTTTTTTGATATCACTCGGAGCCAGTCTCCAATCATGCTCAGGACAGCAGCAAAGTAAGCAAGCCCAACGAGGATCCAAAACCACACGACGGGCTTATAGAAGTCTAGATATTCAATATCTGATCCACCTGTGTGAGAAAAATTAAGCAGAACAAAATAACTTCATATTCATGAAAGAAAACAACATGGATACTTGCTAAAGGCATCAACTGAATTTTGCTTACACAACAGAAATCCTTGTTAATTGATCCACATTATTTTCTTCATATGGGATTCTTTCCTATCCTTATCTGTTTTTCAAGAACCAGTCACTAGGTTTCTTTTTTTTTTCCTTTAAGTTTTTATTTTAATCCCAGTTAGTTAACATCCAAGTGTTATATTCAGTCACTAGGTTCTTCTTAATGAGATCTTTCATTTACATCTCTAGATCATAATCTTTCTTTGTTCTATGTTTCTTTTTTGTTTATTATAATCTGCCTCAACTAGTCTAGCACTTAAGTATTCCATGAGTATCTCTTTCCACCTCTACTGTAACAAGTAGAAGACAGAAATAACACTTCCCTGGATATGCATTTAACTTAGCATATTTATGTTACTGCCAATCAATTCATGCCACCCAGTCAATACGTGTTAACCGATCAATTAAAAGTCGAGAAACTGGTTCTTAGTCTAAAATCACCAATACAATGGATTGATAACGAATGCCTGAGACAATGCCCCGGTGGGTCTAATTGGAACAAAGAGTAATTTGGGGAGGATATACTGCCATTCATTATTTTCTGACTTTTCAGAGGAATTCCCACATCACATATTTAAATCCTTGGCTTTCTAGAAAAATTTATCAAAGAATCTCTTCAGTTTTACTCTAATCTTGTTACTTCTCCATCCATTTGATACAGAAACTGCAGCTCTGAGACTCTGAATATATTTCAACACATCCCTACTTCAGCACATATTAATGGGGGACTTAGTAATTCCCAAACAGTTCCTTCTTTTCATGAGAGACAGGAACCAGTCTCTCTCTTGAGAAATTCACAATTTAACCTGAGAAAGCCTCACACAGACAATTACTCATAATGGGGTAGATCAAGTGAAGCAAAAGCATGTCCCCTGCTTATAAGATGACATGGAAGAAATGATTTTTTTTTACTACTGGAAGGAGAAGGGGAAGAAAAAAGAAGGGGAGTCTCAGTAATGAAGATCAAAACAGAGAAAAATTCAGTGTAAAAATATGTGGCATATTCAAAGGACTCTTCGTAGCTAAGACTACACATGGATGGCAGCCAGGGAGTAGATGAGTAGAAGAGAGGAATCTAGAAAAAATGAGTTGTATCAGATTGTAAAAACTTGTTCCTAATGAGATGGGGCATAGGTAAAGTTGATAGATGATAAGTCATCTTATCATTCATGTTTGACCATATGCACAGAAAGATCCAGCTGCAGAGAAGGAAGGCTGGCAGAGAAGTCCTGTAAGAAACTTTTGTTCTGAACTAGCCAAGAGTTTATTGTGCCTGAGTTAGGGCTGGAATGGAAAGAAAAGGCAGTAGAAGCATCAAAGAAGGGCTCTAGGATGATCAGAATCCCTCTGTTGGGAGATGGTACCAGCAACTGAACAGGAAACACAAAGGAAGAAACAGTGACTTAAAAAAGGCGGGCTCAGTCAGAAGAATACCAACTCTTGATCCGGGAGTTGTGAGTTTGAGCCCCAAGTTGGGTGTAGAGATTCATAGGTAAAACAAATAAACTCAAAAAATATTCATTTCAACTGGTACATGATAGGTTTGAAATGTTTGAGTGCCAACAAGTGGAGGTACATAGTAGGATCCTTTAATTACAGATCTAATGCTCAACAGAGCAGAGCAGGAGACAAAGACTGTAGTTAAGAACAACACAGAGGTGGGATGCTTAGAGGGGTCATGGATGTACTCAATTCACAAAAATTCAATCTATGCATTGAGAAGAACAGCTAATATACAAGCAAGTATACATTAAAGTCAAATATAAACTATCAAATGTAGCATCACTACACATAAATTAGACTTTGAGTTACCCACGATGACATTTTCAAATATCAAAGGGTCAGAGTAAAAAGAGAACATTTTTCTATCAGGCAAGTAATATGAATAGACACAGGTTCAGTTTTCTTTTGGGACAAATAATAATTTGAAAAACACAGTTTCAAAAATTAACAATGTTATTTTCAAAATACTGTAGAAATTTTACCTTGTGTAAAATTTTTTAAAATATCATTTCTGGGAAGGACTGTGGAGGCCCAAACACATCTCATGATGGTTAAGACTTGGCCCAAGGGAGAAGCAGCTCTACAAATTCACAGAAGTGACTTAAGAAGTGTGTGTGGAAACTTGTTATATGATAGGCTCGCTAGCAAATTCCATTTTTCAAATGTTTTCATTTCAATGAAACCAAAATGACATTTTTTTCCAAGTACTTTCTCTTTCAAAACCAGAAAATCTTCATCCAAATAGTTGTGACTCACTTATTAACACATAAGTTCACCAACATGTTGATTTTAAAAGTTAGTTCATACTCAAGATGACTTTTATAAGCCCTCTTTCTTATAAACAGGATGTCACAGTTTGAAAAGAGTAAATTAGCTTAATCACCAAAAGGTCTATATTTGGGTAAAATGTTCATCCCACAAGTTTCAGCGTATTCTAAGCCTGAACACAGGGATGGGGAATGTTCCCCATCCTGTACTGCCACTTTTAGGATAAAATATCAGCCATCAAAGGATCTAGGTAAAACTAATGTACACAAGATTGTTGTCAAATAACCCACAAGTCCTACTTACTTTCTGATAGCCAAGATTTATGAATGAATTTCTAAATTATTTTGACCACTTGATCCATAAATCCAAATTAAAATAGCTGAAATATTAAGATAACTCACTTAAAAGGAGCTGTTAGTCTTATTTTTAAATCAGAAAATGTCAACAAATAATTTTTTGGCTGTCGTGTCAATTTTAGTCTAGCGTAACCCGTACCTGGGTCTCTTGCTGATTAAGAACTTACGGTAATTTCTCTGTCCTAGATTCACTGCCTATGCCCTCCACCCCCATCTCCACTCAGCCACTCTCTCATTTTTTCCTCCCTCCACAGACTTCTGAGATGCAGCCTGCAGGATGCTATGACCTGCTCTCCCCTCCTGGGTTCCTCACCTACTTGGCAGGATCAGCAGCTTGTGGCTACTGAAAATGTGGATGCACGTCTTTTCCATTTTCAGACCTTTCTAGCTAATTACTGTAGGCGAGCAATGATTATAAAAATAGCAAAAAGGGGTGGAGGTACAAAGTTTTTAGGAATCTTACAAACTGTTCCAAGTAGTTAAAAATAAGTCTCTTCCTGACTCTCATCATGGTGATGGTGCCATTTTTCTCTGGATTTCTCTTAAGTTCTTAAATAAAGAAATTAGCCAGAGTCTAATCTGATCTAGCAGATTAAACTTCTAAAAATATAGCTCAAGAAAGGTTTATTATTATTATTATTATTATTATTATTATTATTACTTATGACACTATTGCTGGAACTCATTTTAGCAATAATGGGTTTCCTAAACATTTCATTGGAACTATTCCTCCATCTTGCATTAAGAAAGCCATTTCCTACCTGGCCCCAAAGAATCACTCATTGGGGGGGCAGAACAGCCCATCAGGCTGCAGCAGGCACATCCAGGTTTGTTTGTCTGTCTATTTGTTTGTTTAAATAAAGGCCTAGTAGTCCTATATAGCCCAGTCTCTGCTCATTTCAGCCGATTTCCAAAATATTCAAAATCTGGTTGAGAGAGAAGAGTGAAAATTAAGACTTCCTGATTGCCCACCTAAATGAAATCATTCCATCCTAAAGCCTTGGGAGGCAGGTGTTGAGGGGGGTTGTATTCCCACTCTTCACATTTCCATTGATACAGGACAGGGCTGTTAGTAAGACCATTTGCCATAGATGGAAGCCACATCTCCAGCTGCCTTTATCAGTAGACACTGATAATTCAATTGCCATCACTCTCACAGTCTGCTCAGAACTCAGGAGTAGAGGACCACTTTCATATTGGCTCCTAGAAATCCCAACAGTAAGTAGTCCCACTTACAATAGGGAAGTCACAGTCTCAGTAGGTAAAAGAACATGTGTCAGGCCACACAGGAAAGGAGGCAGGAGAGCTAAAATTCAAAGCCAGGGCTCCCTGGCTCCAAAACACAGGCTTTTATTCATTGGCCAGGTTGTCCATGTCACCTATGATCTCAGCAGCTGTTCTTCCTATCATTTATCCACCAGCCTTTTGTGTCCATACTGCATGACAGACAACTTAGCTAGGGCTAGAAACACTAAGTCAGATGAGGTGTGCCTCTACCCCTTCTTCCCCTCAACAGTCTTACCTAGAAACCAGGTGGGTCTGAAGAGAAGTACTATTTTATCAGGACCCTCACTACCTCACTTCTGTCCTCATTTCAACAGTTTCTAGCAGTTGGCCCTGTTCTCCAAAGAACTTGAGCATGTGATGCCCTCTCCTACTTATATTGAATTTTCTTTCCCTGAGAGGCTTCTGAACCACAGAACATTTATAAAGAAAAAAAAGAAGATAAATTCTGGATTTAAAGAATCATCTATTTTTTTTTTAAATTTTTTTTTTATTTATTTATGATAGTCACAGAGAGAGAGAAAGAGAGGCAGAGACATAGGCAGAGGGAGAAGCAGGCTCCATGCACCGGGAGCCCGATGTGGGATTCGATCCCGGGTCTCCAGGATCACGCCCTGGGCCAAAGGTAGGCGCCAAACCGCTGCGCCACCCAGGGATCCCTCATCTAGCTATTTTGAACTGAAATCATCAACTCCATGACCCCATCTTCTGGTTTATTTTATTTTATTTTATTTTTTAAAGATTTATTTATTTATTCATGAGAGACACAGACAGAGAGAGAGAGGCACAGACATAGACAGAGGGAGAAGCAGGTTCCTTGCAGGGAGCCTGATGTGGGAATGGATCCCGGATTCCAGGATCACGACCTGAGCTAAAGGCAGGCACCCAACCTTTGAGCCACCCAGGTGTCCCCATCCTCTGGTTTAAAGTAATATTTGTATTACAGAATATAGATACAAACATAGAACTTTGCTCTAAA